CTTCTTCTTCTTCTTCTTCTTCTTCTTCTTCTTCTTCTTCTTCTTCTTCTTCTTCTTCTTCTTCTTCTTCTTCTTCTTCCTCTTCTTGCTCTTCCTCTTCCTCTTCCTCTCAGTTTTCTAAGAGGATCCTCATCCCAGGACTAGGTCTTTTGGGTGGGCACGGGGTGTGTAAGAGGCTGTTGCTGGGTGCCCTTAGGTATAGAGTTTATTTTGTTGCAGGAAGGGCAGGAAGAAAAAGAACGTACTGTAAATACAGTGTTTCTCCGTGCCTAAAGCATGCTTTGAGACAACAATCTTGATTTTTCGGAGTGCTACAAACCTGTAGAATAAGGAGATCTTCTTGAGTGCCCAGTCTCTTCCCAGAACCCAGGCAGGTCTTCGAGGGCCAGAATTTGAGCCTTCACTGCTGACAGCCTGTGACACCATCCCTTATTTCGGTGTCACACAGTCCAGCTTGTGGCCTTCCCCAGAGCTTCTCTTCCTGGGATTCTCCAGGACGCTGGCGAACTCCTTCCTGTCTAAGCCCTGCCCGTGGTCCTGTGTGTGGGGAGGAGCACGGACGCCTGCAGGAACACCACCCCGACGGCCCTTCCGAGGCCCTCAGAAAAAAGGAACTTTATTTGAAAAAAAAAAAAAAAAAAAAGGTCACCGGCAAAGAAGTGACCACGGTGACAGTGGTCGGGGTCGGGGTTTGGCGATGGAGTGGGGGCTAGCTACTTCTCTGAATTTGTGGTAAACAAATCAGAGGCAACTTCTGCCTGACAGTGGTCACCCCCTCCCCCACACACCCCCAGCCCTACCCCTTATAATGCCACTGATTAACTTAAAACAAACTGCCCTAACTGTTTGTACTCCTTTGGGGAGCAGAAGGTTGAGCAAGGGACGAGAGCCGGTGCGCCTGGGGCTTTGGGAGCGGGTTCCTGGGGAGGCTGCCGGCCGAGCTGTGCAGACCTGCCCGGCGCCTTCGGCACCCGCCCGCCCGCGCGCCTGAGCCGCGCTCCTCCGCTATCCGCGCTCCGGGATCGCCCCGCTGGCGCTGAGTCCCCGGGAGGTACCTGATCTGGGACTTCTGGGATGCCCCGGGTCCTGCTTTTCATGTGTCTAGATTATTTTTTGGCTTAGGACCCCTCTGAGGGTTAGTGTCCAGAGCACAAAGCGGTGACCGAAGCCGGGCAGTGAGCAGGCGCCCGATTTCTACCTGAAAGGGCGAGAGCTCCAGGTGTTTATATGCTGCTCTGACCGCCGGACACATGCAGGCCTTCAGTCGGCATTTTTCCGACGAAATTAAACCTTTGTGTTGTTCTTTTCCTCTCTCTGCTGCACCAACCCCCCAAGGACAGTCCAGAGTCCTTTCTTTTTCCTTACTATTTTCACAGGACATTTCTAAACTCAAGGAGATAAAAGTAACAAGGCATACTGTCAATATAAAGCTAAGTGTTTCAGTTAATCTGACAGATCTGAACATTGGGAGCCGCAGGCTGTTAAAGTTGGGCTGGGCTGCAGGTTTCTTCTCTCCGAGGAGTAGTGGTTGCAAATAAATGGGTGTTGCTATCCTTACAGGCCAGGTATACTGGCAGCAAAGTACTGTAGTAGTGTGGGGGTGGGTGGTGGTAACGCGTAGGCTTGTTTCCCTTCCGAGGCAAAGGTGACATTTTGGAACTTAAGTTTGTTTGCAGAGACTTAAAACAAATTCTAGGTTCGCCGCTGTATGCAATTCGTGTTTCCACCCTCAACTGTTGCTTTGCAGAGTTAGGGGACTTGTGTGCAACCGTGCCCAGTTTAAAGAGTTAGCAAAAGAAGCTGGAATTGTTTTTAAATTTCATTCTATGAAGTGCATGCTCATTGATGCCCCAAGAGGTTTTACTTTCACTGTGTGAAAATAATTCTCTTCAGTGCCACCTGGGTAAAAATTATTTTTATTTTAGAACTTACCTAGTGATACTTTGCCCACCAGTCATCAAAATGCTTTTCTTTGCAGGATAAAAACCCACCTTGTGAATTAGCTGGATGTGTGTGCACATTTCTCTTTCTTGTTTCAGTGTCTCAATTTAAAATGGTGAATTACTCCTATGATGAAGATCTTGAAGAACTCTGCCCCGTGTGTGGTGATAAGGTGTCTGGGTACCACTACGGGCTCCTCACTTGTGAAAGCTGCAAGGTTTGCTCATATGTTGTTGCCACCTTTAAAAAAGAAAAATGCAATGTTGAAGACCAACAGAAATCACTGAATTACTTTTTAAAGCTAAATTTAGGCTGCTTCTTTTTCACTCAAAAAAAATGAGAGTGCGAGAAAGAGAGAGCTGGTCTTAGGGAGATGATTCTTAGAAATATGTGTCTGATTTAGTTCAAAAGGCAAAGAAATTTATGCTGTTTAGAAAACTTTGCCAGCCTCGTAGCCTTAAAGTACTTTATTGTAGTAAACTGATATTGCTGTAGAAAGGTTTCCATTTCTAACGTCCTAAATATTGATTTTGCCTGAGTTATATATATTTAAAGCATTGTTGGTCTTCAGAAGGAACATGACAAAGTATTTCCCAAATAGGTCTCAACTTCAGGGCGTTCTGTGCTACAAGTCTAAGCATTTTTTATCCACGGATATAAAAGCCTAAGCTCCCAGCTTCACGATTTCATCCTGATTTATTCCAAAAAGAAATTTTAAGATTTCTGAAATTTATGTCATAATGACCAAGAAACCAAGTTTTGGTTTCTGAGGTTTTTTAAAAAACAAGTGTGTCACATGATATATTTAAATGCAAGAAATTTGAATATGTAAAATATACTCTATTGTTATGCATGTCAGTGATACCTTAAGGATTTATGGCAAACTTTTTTATGTAGTCCTAGTTAATTCAGTGTTGTCTAATTTTTCAACTTTTTTTGTTTTTAAAGTGAAAGACAGCTCAGTACAATTAATTAAAACATTGCCAGGAAAGTCCCTTCATTCTCTGTAACAAAGTAGGATTGTTTTCCTTTTGGCTAGAGATATAAACAAGAACACTGTTTTAATAAAGTTGTTGTTCTGTTATATAGTTACAAACTTCATTTGTGATTAATCCTTTTGAGTACAATACAAGGAGAGCACAAAGTCTGCTATAATTCAGTTTTGTGATCCTCTTCTGATTAGTTTCACTTTTTTTAAAAACACAGTTCTCATGCTTGAATGTATTCCAGCGAGGAATTATGAGCCTTTTCCCATTTTACTCTTTTATTCCTTTTATTTTTAACTGTCCAGTGTTGACATTTCTTCGAGATCTAAAGTGTTTGGTTGTTCAGTTTTTCCACTGGCATTTTTGCAATGGTTTGTCACTGAAATTGTATCAGACTACTTAAAAACAATGCAAAGAAGGAGCCCATTCGGGGAGCATCCCGCCCCCCCAGGATTTGTTCCTATTCCCCAGTCATACTGCCCATTCCTTTTCTGCAATAAATTTTTCTACTCTTAAAAAAAAAAAAAAAAAAAAATGCAGGCTTCCATGAGTACTCCTGTCTGGGACATGAAGGGTAATAGGAAAACAGATTTAAAAAACAAAAAAATCACTGGTCAATATAGAGTATATTTTTCTATTAGAATGAAATGGTATGTAGCCAAATCTCAAGATTTGACGTAATCCGTCAGAAATATAACTGAGACCAGAAAAATTTCTATTATGGCCTGGCACTGTTTTGAAGGCTTGATCTTGCTGAAAAATATAAAATAAACCACAGAACTACATAAGGGTTCCAATGGTACAATGAAAGGACTTACTGGTGATTTCTTTGAAATGAAACAATGGAAGAGGCTGGTGTTAGATTTATAATATGTCTCATTGTTTTCTTGTAGGGATTTTTTAAGCGAACAGTCCAAAATAATAAAAGGTATACATGTATAGAAAACCAGAATTGCCAAATTGACAAAACACAGAGAAAACGTTGCCCTTACTGTCGATTTCAAAAATGTCTGAGTGTTGGAATGAAGCTAGAAGGTAAGCTTCTTCTACAAACTACTGCTGTGAAAAGTCTCCAAGGAGGAGGGCTTTAAAACATTGTACTCACGACATGGTGACATGATTTCTCCAGTCTCTTAGACTACTGACAGTAATGGAAGAGCATTTTATGTTGCGTCTGTTGAATGGTCTGAATGTCATTTAAGCGGGGTAACTAACATCCAACAGGAAAAAGGTATCAAAGTCCTCTTATGAGTTTGGAAAGAGGAAACACTTGATTAAAAGAAGTAAATAGACTAGACTAAAGTAACTCAACTGAGCATGCAAACAAGTTTGTTAAAACATGAAAGATAAGATACCTGTTACATTTTCAAATCAGGATGCCATAGTAAAAGTTTGATGACGGTGCTTAAAATAAGGGTACCTGCTGTCATTATTAATTTCATGTTTCGTGTAACATTTAGTCTTTAATCATGAAAAGAAATTCCTCAAGCAGAATTTTTTTTTTTTTTTTTGGTATAGGAACATAAATTTCTTTTTTTCTAAGATAATGATTATCTGTAAAATAAAATAATTGAGAATAAGAAAGATGAACAATAGTTCTTAAATCAGTAGCAGTGGGTGAGGAGAACAAGAGAATGGTGGCAACGTGGTTCCTCCAAAGATGCACTAAACTTTGTTGAAAGAGCCAAACCTGGAGGACCATGTTCAGATTGGAAGGCTGTAAAGTTAATAAGTGACTGCTATAAATAATTGGTAGTTCATGGATTGTAATAGTGTGCTGCTGTTTTTCAGCCTTTGACCTACTGGCTTTTCACAGATTAAATATACTGCAAATAAAGTAATACCGAAGGCTATAGCTCTCTGTCGGTGCCAGATACATGACTGTGTTTCAGTTGATCCATGAGGCACAGGCTATTTTTATTTGGAGTTTTTGCTATTTGGAACCCATACTTAATAGAAATAAGAAAAGAAATCCAAATAAATCTGCTGGAATACGAGGAGATTCCTTCCGTACAGAAGCAGTCTCTCTGGTGATCATGAGGCCTGTTGAAATCCACACTGTATTGCTTTTAAGAAGAGCCTGAGAAGTAACTAATGTTTACTCATTTTCTTACCAGTTACTTCATTATTTGCTAAGTAGAAATATATTTTGGTAGCTGCAAGCTGCACTGAGACTCAGAAGACACATGTGAAAAGGTGGTTGTTATTGTTTCATATGATGTCATTTGAGTTTTTTCTTCTTAAAAACAAAAGAAAAAGGTTGCATTTCTTGGAAAAGTATGCTTTAATTGTACATAAGTCACTCATGGGGGATATTTGTACTTCCTTAGGAGTGGCATGAAACAATTGAATATTCAATAAATTATCATCCACATGAAAAACTCCTTATGATCTCATGCAGTATCTAGATACCTAGAATTCACAATAAATTTTTAATGTGATACTAATCCAAGATAAAAAGCTCAGAAATTTAACCTCCAGCAATTTCAATGTGTTCCAGGTTGTCAGAGGTGGCTGGTTTCTGTCTAATTGCCATGGGCCACCGTGGGCTTGGGGAGAGCAGCGGACCAAGTTGTTAGGCATGGCCCCTGCCCCATGCACAGTGTAGAAAAGAGGAGCCCCTCGACAGGTTGGGGAGGAATTGGCTTTACTTATGTCTAATTCTGCTGAAATTAAAAGCAATACCTAACTGGTTGTTATTTGATAGGCACTTACTAAGTCCAGGTGAAAATGATTTTCCAGGATTTTCCTCTTGCAACAAAGAACCTGAAGTGGCCCAGTGGGGGGAAGTAGCCTCTGAAAGAAACTCATAATTTAATCCAGAAGTGTGTTCATTTTCTCCCCCTTTCAAAAAAAACCAAAAAAAACCCAAAAAACAAAACAAAACAAAACCTGAAAACAAACAAAAAAGCCCAAAGTAGATTGGGTTCTATAAAGAATTAGCACATACCACAGGGCATGGTGATGCATGCCTGTAATCCCAGTACTCTGGGAGGCTGAGGCGGGAAGATCACTGAGAGTTTGAGGCCAGCTTGGGCTACAAAGTGAGTTCAAAGCCAGCTTAAACTACACAGTTAAGTCCTATCTCAAAAAGACCAAACAAACAAACAACCCAAATACAAAAACAAATAATTACCACATGCCTAGCACTATAGAAACTACACTCCTATGAGCCAGGCATGACTTGCCTGTAATCTCATGATTTGGGAGTCCGAAGAAGGAGAAATGTTGTGAGTTTGAGGTCACCCTGGGCTACATAGTGGGCTCAAGGCCAGTCTGGATCGCATAGCAAGACCCTGTCTCAACATCTCCCCCTCAAAAAGAAAAGAAACTGACATACTTGATAAGAAAGCATGCTCTCTCAGCAAATATCCCCACATATAGCAAAGATTATGAGATTACTTCAATTCACAAAAGGGTTAATATGTCCTTATCTGTTCAAAATATTTTTGATAACAAAATACACTTGGAAGAATTCCTAAGTACATAAAGAAGACATGCTTTTTTTTTTTTTTTTTTTTCTTGGAAAGTGTGTGGGGTATTGTAGTGAAAACCACACAAAACCCATTTTTGTTCAGTTCTCAACATTTCCAGTATTTGGATGTCCTGGAGAACACTGACTTGCATGGCATTTACATACTCTTCCTTCCTTTTCTTTTTTCTGTGCAGCGGTAAGGGCAGACCGAATGCGTGGAGGAAGGAATAAGTTTGGGCCAATGTATAAGAGAGACAGGGCTCTGAAGCAGCAGAAAAAAGCCCTCATCAGAGCCAATGGACTTAAGCTAGAAGCCATGTCTCAGGTGATCCAGGCAATGCCCTCTGACCTGACCATCTCTTCTGCGATTCAGAACATCCACTCAGCTCCCAAAGGCCTACCTCTGAACCACGCTGCCTTGCCTCCCACAGACTACGACAGAAGCCCTTTTGTCACGTCTCCTATTAGCATGACAATGCCACCTCATGGCAGCCTGCAAGGTTACCAGACATATGGCCATTTTCCTAGCAGGGCCATCAAGTCTGAGTACCCAGACCCCTACACCGGCTCATCTGAGTCCATCATGGCCTATTCCTACATGGATGGTTACCAGACCAGCTCTCCAGCAAGCATCCCACACCTGATACTGGAACTTTTAAAGTGTGAGCCAGACGAGCCTCAGGTGCAAGCCAAAATCTCGGCCTACCTGCAGCAGGAGCAGGCTAACCGGAGCAAGCATGAAAAGCTGAGCTCATTTGGGCTCATGTGCAAAATGGCAGACCAAACCCTCTTCTCCATCGTCGAGTGGGCGAGGAGTAGCATCTTCTTCCGGGAACTGAAGGTAAGTTCACAGCCACGCAGCTCCCACTGTCCTCATGGAGTGCTGGTGCTGAAGACGAGTTTCCCTTTTTTGTGTGTGACCTGCACTTCAGAGTAATGATCATTCATTATTTCGTTTGGGACAGTTGTAGCTTCACTTTATGGCTTTTATTCTGTGTAGCTCTTAATTTGGGGGATGACACTGAACTCAAAATAGATAGGAAGGAGGATTTTTTTTATCATACAACGGAATGTATGTATTCCCTTGTACTCGGAAGGTTCATAGCCAAAACAGCTTTAATGTCTAACAGTACCTGGTTAAATATTCTTAAAAGTTAGCAAGTAATGAGCTGTATTATATGGTTTGATCCTAAAGGTATTTTCAAAAAAAAATATGCCAATATTTAGTTCCCTTACATCCTACAGAATGCAAATGGTACCACTGGTCGACAGTATCAAGTAGGTATTTACTGCCTATTTCCCTTGACATTAAGTTGGTATAACCTTTGCTTTTGAAGCAGATTCTAATAGGATGTCTACTGTTATCAGATGGGGAATGAGTGGCAACTGGTGTCAGTCTACTTGGCTTGCATTCTAGTTCTTGTGCTGTATGTCTGCTGTTTATTTTAGTGGATTGGTGCATTGCAAACACAGTACTTGTTTGTATAAGGATCTATGTTTAACTACATAATTATTTTATTTCCTGAAACTTCAGGCTGATTAATATGGGAAAGTTATTTAACAGTTTGGGATCTGAGTGGCCACCAAGCCACATTTTGTAGCCAATGTGGTTCAACCCTTAATAAATTTAAACTCTTTTTCTTGGTTTTGTTTTTAGAGGGCTGGGATCACAGGCATGCGCCACCACACCCAATTCATCCCTGATTTAAAAATGAGTTGTAGATTTGGTTTCTAAGGCTATTCTGCTATAAAATCAACTTCTTCTTTTTGCTGTCTTGAGAGATGTGGCTGGTAAATCTCTGGCTTTTGATTAACCTGGGGCAGGCAGAGGTATCTTTAAGTCTCTGAGAAATGGAAAATAACAAAGCAGATTTTAAATTTCAAGGGTTATCATTTAAAATGCTCTGTGTAGAAAACACAAGGACTAGGGAACATGGGAGCCATCTGAAAGTGGAAAATAATGCTTTTCATAGAAGTCTTAAAATGCTTATTTGTTTAAAGAAGTTGTGAGTGGATCTACGTAAGTTATGAAATACTGTAGCACCCTCATAAGACTGCTGACACCCAGTTTTCATTTCCATGTCCTTTATTATTTCTTTGAAAGATGGCTGGTGGCGTAGACCATCACCATAGATTGTGGAGGACAAGCAGAGTGTGTCAGGTTGGTACCACATGTGCACATGCGTCCCGCGTCCCTGTCACCACTGCATGGCAGGCAGAGCCTATATTTCATTTAGGAACCAAAGGCAACAACAACGAAAGCAGCTTTCCTGGCATTCTTACATTTACCACCATGTGCTTAGGAGAACAGGTATTGGGAAATGAAAATAATAATTTTAGATATAACCAAAAGGCTATGTGGTGTAAACATGAGGGGAACACAGCCTTGACGTTAGAGGGACCCAGTTTGAATTAAATTAGATCTTCCCACTATAATCACTGTTTCTTCATGGGCAGCTTCCAGTGTCTGCACGTTGTTGTTCTCATCTGTGAAGTTATGTTGGAGGTGTGTAGAATGGTATGGAGGAAATCATTGACCTTTTAGCTGAGCAGGTGTTTTATTTATTTATTTATTTATTTATTTTCAAATTTTTTCTTTAGTCCATGTTTGTAGTATAGAATGATTGCATTCCTTGTGGGCAGTTGGTACACAGAATGACACAGCTGACCCCCACCCCAATCTCTTGGTCTCCTTTCCACTTATAAAAAATGAAATGAGAGGGTTTTGCTGGTTTTTTTTGTTTGTTTGTTTTTTTTCAGAACCAGGGATTGAACTCAGGCCCTTGTGCTTGCCAGGGAAGCACTTAACCTACTGAGCCATCTCCCTGGCCCCAGGGTTTTGAAAGAAAAAAGAAAATGAGAGTTTGTAGGTAAAGTACCTAACACTGGGAGTCTGGCACAAGCCAGGGGCACTTTCTGCCTTCTCTGTTCTTTATCCAGGACTGGAGATCAAACTCAGGGCCTAGTGTGCCAGGAAAGCACTCTACCACTTAGCTACACCAGCTACATGCCAGCTTTACATGGTGCTTTCTTTATTTTTTTTTAAACATTTATTTATTTATTTATTGTGTGTGTGTGTGTGTGTGTGTGGCCAGCTCAGCCCACCAGGGGGCGGGGCTGGCTGGCATGTGGTGCTGGGGGATCGAGCCATGGTCCCTGTGCTTCCCCAAGCTTGTTCCAAGTAGGTGCTTTAGACCACTGAGCCATCTCGCCAGCCCC